TGGAATCATTTTCTTCATCAACAGGGATTCCAGTCTCTCTTTTTAAAGTATTCATTCCTTGAGCAAAGGTCAAGAGTATCAACCATGATCTTGATAACTCCCGTTGTTCATGTGTTGCATACTTAGAAACTATAGCATGGCTTGTAACAAATTTCAAGTCTCCAATGACACGTTCACTTGTATCAACTAACCGTTCCAACTTTGTAGCCTACAAAAGAAAACAGTGAGATACAGTTCACTAGGAGCACAATGAAAGTGGAACTAAAACTCATCACCATTATAATGATACCAAACCAAAAAATGAGAAAAGAAGACATATGTTTACCTGTAGCACACCATCCTCCCCAGAACAAGAAACAAAGATATCACTGAGGCATCCTAAAAGCATAGCTAGCAAATTCATTTCCTTCACCAGAAATGGTGTTAGAGTTGGCACCGTGAGGATTTGCACAGAAAATGTGGACAGTAGAGGATATTTCTTGAATGCATTATCAGTACCCTGCTTAACCGCTTCACTTATGACAACTGGATAGTAACTCACAAATGCTTTTGCAAATTCACACTTGAAAACTGGATCTCCTATTAATTTGAGGAACAAGTCATGTAGTTTCTTCATAACATCTTGGTCCAAAAACCTCTCAGCCTTTACAAGAATACTCAATAAACCACTTGAAGAGATAATCCTTCTAGAAACAAAACTGAGCAAACTCTCACTGGACTTAGAAAATTCCAGAAGCATTTCAACTACTATAAATGTCAGCTCGTTTGACATCTTTTGGAGTAACACAAGAGTATCGTTGGATCTAGCACTTTTCTGACTAATGCTTTCTGCAGATAAGAGCTTGTTATTCCAACAAGTAAAAAGGGCATCAAGTACAGGCCCAACTGAATTTGCTAGATTTTCTGAGAGAGGTTGAATCTGTTCAGAACCTTTATGATTTGAACAGAAACCCTCACGTTTCCATGCTGTCTCATCCCCACAATCACAACAACCACCACCTGTGTAGATGATCGAATAATCGTGGGAGTTGTGATTCCCATTCTGGAAACAAGGCACGCAGATTGCACAAGTTGGGTCATTCTCGCATGTCCTACACCTATATGCTATATCATTGTGTCCCCAAACAGAGCCACAAACACCTCGCTGATCAAGATTCAATTTTGCTAGATTCTTCAAACAAGCATCAGGCTCATCCTGAAACATCAACCACTGCAGCATATTCATGCTCTCCCTGAACCTCTTTTTCATGCTAGGACTCACCGCAGACTTGCGAGACCGTTCCCTAGCTTCCTTCAATCCTTTTTTAACATCGGCATCTGTAGGTAAGAGAGCAGAGACTAACTCTGGAATCTTAGCCGGGTTAGCTCTAACGAATTCCACTAGGCCATGTTTAGAGCAGTATTTTTTAGGAACCCCCACAGAGACAAGCCTCTACACAATAAACAAAAGCCAAACTTTAACTCCAAGCAGTCATAGTACAACAAAACAAGCCAGCCACAACCACGCATATTACAAGATTATACACTACAATAGTCATGAAACACAATCAGGGTAACAAAAAACCCTTTTATATAAATCATAAGAAGTTCGGGTAGCACAAGCAAGAACAATACCTCGATGACCAAATCATGCGAGCTGGGAAGAAAAGAGCCAAAAAGAGGCGAGTCAGTCTCCATCTCCGAAATTAACGAGCGGCGGATATACAAAACCACCACTGACACAACGCTGCAGAAACACTTGCTGTGACTCTCCAGGGTTTGTTCCTCCAAGGAGGAAACTTTAGGAGTAGAACGAAGACGATGAGATTCGGATAGAAACAAAAACTGATCCTTTCAATGAAACCTGAATCGTTCGACGTTAGCTTCAAATTACAACAATCATACAAAAATTGAAATTATATGTCTGAAAATAGTAATTTTGAATCCAAAGTGGAAGAAGATAATATACCTACAATTGTCTGAGAGAAAACCCTAATTTCCCCAATTGCAGCCAAAAGGAAAAAAGAAAAGAAAAAAAAAAACCCTAAAAAAGGAAAGAGTTTATAGGTGGATATTGGTTAAAGCCATGGCGGTTCGCGGAGCTCCGGAAGTCTCTTTTACAAATTTGAGATACCGACGAAGAAAAGGTCACTGTTCAGATTTTTTTTAATTTTATTTTTTGGTTTAGTAGTTGACATTTTCAATTACTAAATAAATTCCTTTTTTATCAATCAAATACCTCCATAACTAATAGAATCTTTAGAACCATATACAGTATGATAATTTTTAAATAATATCAGATTTTTTAAATATTTCGGTTTGCTAATTTTGTAAATTTTATTTTTTATAACTATATAAATTATAATTTAATATAATTTAATATCTATATTAACATTTTGGCAGCAACTTATGAAAAAACCCTTGCTTTGCTCACTTATTTACAAGATTTTGCCATTGGTATTAATATTTCTTTTTAAATAGTTTAAAAATCAATAATGAAAACAAGAAAATCTCCCTAAAATTTTTCGAAAATACTTAAGAAAATCTTCAAATTAAACAAATATTTATTATTGCGAAAAAATAGTTAAGAAAATCTCTATTAATTATTTCGAAAATAGCTAAAACAATTTTCAAATTTAATACATACTTATTATCTTAATAAAAATTTCCAAAAATAACTAATGTAAAATTCAAAAATATGAGGCAAACTTCTCAAACTAAAGTCAGTCGATTTTATAAATATTAAATAGGCACACGATTATTATTATTTTTTGTGGGATACACACATTATTATTTAATAATAATAATATAATGAATAAATCTGCAATATATATATATATATAATAATTAATATAAGAAACAATTTGAAACTTTCCACAAAAAAAAAGAAACAATTTGAAACTTTTAATTTTCTCTATATTTTAGTAACTACCATAACTACTAGGTTTTAATATAATAAAAATAGATCAAAACATTATTAAAATTTTCTAAATTTACCTTTTTCAATTTATTATGTACAGAATTTCTTTGACGAAATTTGTGGAAAGTGAAAACCGAATCATTGAAATTTATGCAATATTTTGGGTAAAAATATGTTAAAAATAAATCAAAAATTACAAAACAGATCAATATTTTATATTTCTCCATTTATATTTAAAAGATAAGAAAATACAAATCCTTTATGCAATATTTTGTTAATTTTTATTATTTAAAATATTTAACTTTCCCACACCATTTACCTATATATATAACCAAATCTTTGTGTGTAAGCTTAGAATATCCATTTTT